AATTCATGACATTGTCTTTAACCGGATCTATATCCAGACTGTAGAGTAAACCATAAGCATTTGATTTTAAGTGGTTACTTGCTAATTTCATTTTCTCCAAGCTATTTCATTTTAGCAGTTTGGTCTGTTTTAAACAAAGGATTTTTCTTCAAGGAAAACCTGGACTTAAAGCAAATCCTGGACTAAAGCTTTCTGCTTATATGTATGCAAATTATATTGGCTGGTAAAAAGCAGTCGCTTATAACAAAGTTTGTTGTATTTTAACAAATACCAGAAAATAGTTCAAAATTGTTTTTTATTTCATTTTGAGTGTAGACTCAGAGAATGCTGAGAAATTATCACGTGTGATGTAGCATAAAAATAAAACTCCAAAGGTACCGATATGTAGGCTCCATTATAATGTAACCAAAAACATTTATAGAGCTTCAGACTTATCTAATATTTTAATTAAAATAATTCCTCACAATAAAATCCTAAAGCCTATATTACTGTAATATATGTCATGCTATTAAATGAAAACCTTTTCAAAATAGCCTTTCATTTTTGTATATGCCACAAAAATATATAATCACAGTAATTTCTGTATGTTAAAGTTATTCTTAAATTGATCCTTAAAGTAAATACATATTAAGTCTTTTTGATAAACTACATTTAAAAATAAAAATAGGTCGTAAGAATTGGTTAAGGGAGGACAGTACACCACCTTGCAATGTAGTAAGATTACTCTCATGGCCCAGATTAACCGTTCATGTCTACTACAGATCAGTAGCAAGTGACGACCAAATTTCTCATTTTCTAATATTCAAGCACAAAAATATCATTAGTAGACACTAGAGTTCCAAAATATTACGTATACATGCTGCTCTAAAGATCCAAGTTCTGCCCTTTTCTTTGTTGACAAATGTATTTAAATTCTAAAGGACTTCTTTTCCATAATTTGTATTTCTCCTATTTCTTAACCAGCACACAGCTAATACGAGCCAGTGTCCCTTACAAAGACCAGAGGTTGCTGTCACCCTCTAGATCCCTCCAGGGTTCGTTACCTAGAAAACATCCCTGTTTGCTATACAAAGCATGGGAGCCCAAAGAGAGACTCAGCCAAAAGAAAAACAACTTTGTCAAATAAAACAAGTTTCAAATTAACTTGTAACTCAAACTTCAGGTAAATTGCAAACCTAAACCCCTACCAACTACCTCGTTTTAAAACCATAATCAGCCTCCACCTTACTGGTAACACATCTGCGGTTAGCACAGATGGAGGCGCACTGACGTTTCACCCCACCGACTAGAGGCATGGCCGATCTCAGAGAGCCAGGGCTGAGCGAGCGGCTCCACATTTAAAGGTCGTTATGATTAGCTGATCATATTTCAAAGCAGTATGTGTAAAGGCATTAGAAAATTCAAGAGCTTTTACCATAAATACATCAAAATCATAATTTTATTCTCATCTGGTAATTCAAGGTTCCAAAGTATTTCCAAGTCTTATTCCTTAGAACTAAATACTTCACTAGAGCCTTTTGACATGGGAGGAAAAATAGGTGAAGATACTATTTCAAAAACGACAAACTTAAAAGCTATGTACTATTTATTTACCTTCACACTTCCTAGTCCTGTAATGAAATTTTAAAGTGGCTATGGGGGAATACAGAAAAGTACAGACCTTTTTTTTTAACCATTTTCTCTCACTTTTCATAGGGCATGTTTACAGCATTTGCTTAATATAAATATATTTAGCTTTAAAAATACATTCAGAACACAAAAAAAAATCCTAATGGTAAATATCTTTTTGCATGTCTAGTTATGTCTAGTCCAGCTAAGTAAATTTTAGATTATACCCTAAATTTAACACAAAAAATTACTAGAGGTCTACGGTACTTTGAAAAAATAATTTACATAAAATATAAGGTGGAAGATGATTCCGTATTATAAGGGTTTACTATTTTGAGATATGCCAGAAGCTGACTAAAGAGCAGATGTTTTGAGCTGCTCGTCAGTTATCGATACACTCAGAAGAGGCAAACTCTCATCATTTATAACATAAGCCTGACGCGTAGACATACTCTTCCTTAAACTTCTCAGATGCTTCCAGAAAACCTTACCAATGTCCTGGGAGATGGCACACACTGCTATCCACTGTCATTACTGCAAGCATTATTATAAGCATATTTGTGTATGAATAAAATACAAGTCAAATCAAAATGACAATGTTTCATAATCCTAATTTTAATTTCTTAGAATCCAGAAAACGGAACAAGTGAATTAAATATTTAACAATAGATTTTTAAAACCCAAAGGAATACTTTTAAAATATATTACTTTGGGTTTTAAATAAGTAATATATTCACACACACCCATCTCCCAAATCTACTCTCCATCCAGCCTCACAACTAATTAATTTCCTGTATATCCAATATTTTTGTGCAGATAAAAGTAAAAATATGTATTTCCCTCCCTTCCTACACAAACTGACCTGCACCTTGCTCTTTTCATTTCACAAATCCTAAAAATCTTTCCATATCACCACACAATTACCTCATGTATAATATTCAATTATGTGGATATTCTATATTAATTTTAACCAGAAAAATCGTTCACTGATGATGGGTACATGTTAACTTCAAGTAATTAAACTTAGTTGCATGTCTGTCTACCTATCCTCACTTTCTCCCCTGCCCTGCCACTCTTCCTTTTATTTTTTTCCGAGGTGAGGAGGCCTGAAAAATATTTAAGCAATTCAATTATACCTCAAAAATAAACAGAAAAAGAAGTTCCTTAAATGACCTAATCATTTTTAAATTTCATTTTGAAATAGTAACTTTTTACAACTTCTCCCCAGTTTTAAAGTCAATACAAATAAAAAAGGCCTACTCATAATGAATTAAAATGCAAAGTAATAACTTCAGTTCAATTTCAACCCGGTAGGAGTTAATATTTCCTTTTCTCCAATTTCTAGGAGAAAAGAAAAAATGAAAAGCTGCATATGTTAGGGAGACAGAATTTCAGGTAACACTTCTAATTTTTATTTAAAATTGCTGTTTCTGAAACCTGCAGTGAACTCGCACTCTAGCAAAGCTACTTAACGAGGTGCATTAAGCCAGTCTGAGGGCCCACTGCGGAAACTACGTCACTCTCCTCTCTGCTCCCCCCCTCCCCCGGCGCTGTTTCCCCTGCAGTCACTTCTAATGCCAAATGTACTAACGAAACCCTCAAAAATGTTTTTCCAGATTTTAAAAAGGAAGCAACCGAAAGTCTAAGGAATATTTTCATCAATGCTGGAGAGGTCCTAGGTTAGCCCAAGTAAAATGATTAGAGGGACCCTCCTGTAACTCTTCCCAGTCTTCACCCACCCACATCAAGTGGCACCGTCCCCACTTTCCCCAAGGTCCTCCTCTCCTTTCTCTCCCTGTCCTCTATTAGCTCTGCTTTTCAAAAAGGACCTGAAACGTACCCACTATGAAGTAAAAATAACTATAACGATGTATGTCACCTCTCCCAGGAATATATGCATTTTAGTAGTGCTTAAAATCTTAAAGGAATTCCAAAGCTGAACTTGGGGGGGAGGCGCGGGTACAGGCAAAGGGTTGTATGTATGGGTGTGTGTGCATGCACACAGGAATTAGGAAGGCCGAGTCAAAAAGGACTTGACTTCTGTCTCCATTTGAGTCCATTTTTACGAGTTACTTGACTGTTTGTGTCCATGGTGATTAGAATCAGAGGCAGCAACAATGCAGAGGATTGAGGGGCAGTCTGTCAGAGCATCCACATTACACAACTCTATGTGAATGGCTCCCACAACACAGTATGAAAGATGCTCCCTGAAGCTGTACAACCTAGCAGCCTTGCTTTCTATAAGAACACGCTCAAAAGAGAAAAAGTAAAAGGGTAAAAGAGGGTAACTTTGAAAGGCTGAGTCTCCATAGTTTGAAAATTAATGTAATGTAACAATACATGAATGAAGAAAAGAAGGATCCAAGTCCATCCAGAGAGCCGAAGTGGTTTACCAAGCAAATCTGACTTTAAAAAGAAAACAAAAACCTTAAAAAAAAATCAGTTTATCAACCCCAAAGTTTTAAAATTTTATCTATAAAGAAAAAGAAATCTAAAGGAATTATATTGTATGGCTTTCATTTTAAGTCACTTTTTAATCTTTTTAGTGTGAAAATAATATTGTGGTTATGTCTAAAAACAGAACCCTCACCTTTTAAGATATACTGAATATTTCTAGAAGAAATAATATTTGGGATATGCTTCAAAATAATCAGCGCAGCACTGGGTAGAGCTACAGACCGACCACGAGCGCCTAAATGAGGGTGAAGTGGGAGCACACGGGGGTTTTCGTCACGCTCTTCTTCTGAGCTTCTTTGAAGTCTTCTTTAAATAAAACATACTCTCACAGACAAGTTATCTCCAGCACTTAGGAAAGTATTTGGTACACAGTAGATAATCAATAAACTTTGTTTAGAAGAATAAATTTAAAACAACTTACAACTACATAGAGGGGAAAAGCATGCAAAATAAGTCATTTCTCTCATTAAAAAAGCAACAAACTGAAAAAGTCATTGAATTAAAGAAGTGGGATTTTTTTTCAAAAATTGTCTTACTTTATAGGTATTTTCTAAATTTTAAAAATAAGCTTAAAGTATATGTTTGAAAGACTAAAATAATAAAAATTCATTTATTATCTTTAATCCTTACTGTCCCATTTAAGGCCCAACAAGTGTCAGGTCAACAAATGCAAAGTTAATGCAAGATACTGAAACTTTAACTCATTGGCTGATTTTATGAAATGGAATAGTAATTTTAAAAATAGTAACTGTGGGACCCTGAATCTGCCTGATGTTTAAAATATTCACATCTACAGGTCACTGAAGTATATGAATCATTTTGACTATCACATACATAACAAAAAAAATCCTAAGATTATGGTGTCTTCGCAGGCAACTTAATTTGACTTTCTCTACTACTCTTCCACTATTTCCCGATTCAGGTCCCAGAACTCGAAGTTTAAAGGAGCGGAACTAGGAGCCAAAAATACACTGAACCAAGAAGGTGAGAGGACCCACAAAGGCATTTTGAAAAACATGACCTTAAAATGCAAAGATTCTTGTAGATAATACCTCACTGACCATTGCTTTAGTCAAATTTTAAACCAATTCAGCTGCTTTCCCCCTTCCATTAGTAGTTTCTGTGTAAGAATCTTAAACATACACATTTGATATACACAAAAATATATGGTATGGTTTAACAGAGTACATTTGCATAGATACAGAAAAAACACATTAATACCATTAGTGTGTTTTTAAATTAACTAAAAAATTAATAATATTCAGGCACTAACTCTGGCAGAAAATAAGGAACACTAAAGGTACTAACAAATCTTAGCACTGAGCTCTGAATTGACAAATTGGTATAGAGTTTGATCACATATATTCGCTTTCTACCTTTTCATAGATTCAAGAGAGCGATACCAGAAGTGAAATCTCTAAGAATGGCCTCCCTGAGCTCCAGCCTCTGGAATGAAACCACTACCTCTGTTTATCAGTACCTTGGTTTTCAAGTTCAAAAAATTTACCCTTTCCATGATAACTGGAACACTGCCTGCTTTGTCATTCTGCTTTTATTTATATTTACAGTGGTGTCTTTAATGGTGCTGGCTTTCCTTTATGAAGTCCTTGACTGCTGCTGCTGTGTAAAAAACAAAACTGTGAAAGATTTGAAAAATGAACCTAACCCTCTGAGAAGTATGATGGACAACATCAGAAAACGGGAAACTGAAGTGGTTTAGTGCTCTACATGAGAGGAACAGAATCTTTGAAGACTGCCTTTAACTTTGAAGAAAAAATTTTCTTTCTGAGGCCAACTGTTATTACAAAATTGACTGACTTTGAATGATTAAAAGATTTCTATTAGAAGGGAAAATCAAATTAAATATGTACTTTCTGTGTGTGTATCCCTTTCATTAAATATACAGTAAAACTTCACAAATGTGAATAATTTACCAATCTCTTTACAACAACAGTTCAAAAACTAGGTAAAAAATTCCTAGAACTCACTCCTACCAGTGGGGCTCAGTTGGTTGGAGCATCGCCCTGTAACCAAACAGTTGTGGACTCGGTTCCCAGTCAGCGTTCATGCCTGAGTTGCAGGTTCTATCCGCGGTCCAGGAGCACACATGCGAGAGGCAACCGATCAATGTTTGCCTATAGCTCTTTCTCCCTTCCTCTCTAAAAACAATGAAAAACAAATGTCCTCTGGTGAGGGTGAAAAAAAACTTAAAAATTAAAAGATTCCTAGAATTCAATATTAAGTAGCAAAAGGTAAACTTACAGTAAAGTTTGTGGTAAAACTTATGGTAAAATATGGGAAACATAAGCAAGGCTAATGATGCCAAAATAACTTAAACAAATCATGTGGACTAAAAAATAGTTATACTGTACCTACATGTGTTTTGGCAATAAAAATGCTATTTAAAATGCTTCTCTAAATCCAAAGTAAAAATACTTTCACTCAACCCCGGCTGGTGTAGCTCAGTGGATTGAGCGCAGGCCTGTGAAAAAAAAAAACACACTTTGGCTTAAATATTAAAATCCCTACTTATTAAAAAAGCAGTATTTTCTAGTTTGCTGAAGACAACTTATACATTTTTAAAGGTTTACGTTTTGTAGGGTTACTGTGAAAAGTCTCAAATACTCAGAAAAGCCACAAATGTACTTGCATAAACTTTTATAGTCATTAAATAGACTGTTGACGTACATGGTATTCAAAGTAGAACACCCCCTAATACATTTCTTGAGCTTGTGCTTTCATTTTGCTTCTCACATTCACACTGAAGGGCTAAGATACCTCATACAGAAGAGATTGCAAAAAAAAAAAAAATGTCAAAAGATAGGACCACTCACACCTGTTAAGAAATACAGCAGTTTTATTTTTTGGAATTCCAAGGGCTATACAAATATTACACTTTATAACCCTAATACTATTTTGCTACCACCCATGAGCAAACCAAAGCATGCTCTTAACCACTACACTACAACTACGCTTAGGCCAGAAATGTCACTCCTGAAAATTTATTGAGGTATTAATTCAAAAGAAGAAAAAATGCCCATGATACAAAGATGTTTATAATAGCATTGCTAAAAATAAAAAATTGGAAACAGCTTTAAATGTGACACCTCAACGTAACAGCTAAGAAGCTAATGAAAAATGACAAAATAGAAAATATTTGACAAGTGAAAAATATTTTCAGTTTAGAGAACCCTAACTGCCAATCTGAAATAGCTTTTCTACAAAATACTTTTTATATTTCCTTCTAAAATTAGAAACAAGCACAAGTAACATAACCAACGTTCAAAGGACTTATGAAACCTTGGTTATTCAAAATACCTTGGTAACCAGGAACTATTCTGAGCATTGTTAAAACCACATTTTTGCCTTGGCTGGTGTGGCTCAGAAGATTGAGTGTGGACCTGAGAGCCAGAGGGTCACTGGTTTGATTCCCGATCAGGGCACGTGCCTGGGTTGTAGGCCAGGTCACCAGTGGAGAACGCATGAGAGGCAACCACACATCAAGGTTTCTCTCTTTCTCCCTCCAGTCCCTTATCTCTAGAAAGGAATAAATAAAATCTAAAAAATAAACCAACACATTTTCCTAAACAGTAAACTTTGGGGTCTTTGCCATAGATGGAAACATACAGATTCTCTGATAACTAGATTATCTGATAATGTACACAATCAACTTTTCCCTACTGTATCCTTATTTAGATGCACTAATAACAAATAAGCAATGAGTGCTTTTATGTGTGAGTGATTAGGATACAATAGCAAACAAGTAATCATGCAATTAAAATGTCACACAGTAGCTTTGTCAGAAATAGTGAGCACTACCTTTTGGCATCTCTGGGCCACACTGGAAGATAATTTGTATTGGGACACACATTAAATACACTGTGACATGTAATCATAAAAAATATATATAATGTTTTAAGTAAATTTATGATTTTATGTTGGGCCACACTTACAACTATCCTGGGCTGCCTGCAGCCCATGGGCCACAGGTTGGACACCCGTAGGCTAAGAACTCAATTAAAATTGAAAAGTGGAAGTGATATGACTTGTAAACTGAAACCTAAGAGAACAGGACTTAGCCAAAGGGAAGAGGGAAGTAGGTTAGTAAGACTGTTCCAGGAAGAGGAAATATACTATGAGCAAAGGCAAGACAGCAAAACATGTTAGAGGAGCATCAAGTCAGTATCACTAAACAGAGCAAGAAAACAGGGAGGCGGCATAAAAGTAAGTGCAGACTAGATCAGGTAGGGCATGTAAGCTACTGGAAGAGATGCACTTGATCTGAAAAGCAGTGAGATGTCATTGGATTTATGAATAGAAAATCACTGACTGCTACACAGAGAATGGGAGCTAAACCAGGAGCCCTGGTATGTACCTAGTGATGCGACCCAATGACAGTGAACCGAACTAGGGTCATAAGGCAGTCTTCAGCGTTTACACTCGATATACGTGCAGCTCTCCTCTTTCTGAGCACATGACACCACTTGTGGCTCGGTACGGCCTTACGGCACGTCATGAGAGGAAGTGATGTGTGTGTCACCTCCAGGCCAGAGCATTTAATTACCAGACAAGATCTTCCCGAGTTCCCTTTCCCTCCAGCACTGAAACCAACATTTGAAAAATCACTACTCTACCAGCCTGGGTCCTTGAGTGACTATAATAAGTTTAGACCCCTGCCAATATAGATAAACGTGTGGTAAGAGGAAAAAAAAAACCTTTGTTGCTTTAGGCCACTGAGATTTTGGAGCAAACAGATGAGGTCTTAAAGTGGGTGTCTGCTAATGTTTAAAACAGTTCCTAAAATTCTGTTCCCCATAAATCATAATTCAAAGTAAGTTTCATTGGAATAAGAGATGATCAATCCTCAGGCAGGTGCTAATAGGAATGGCAGGCCTACTTTGATGAAAAGAACACCTAACATCATACATAATGGTGAAAGACTGAATGCTTTTCCTGTAAGATCAGAAGCAAGGCAAAGATGTCCACTCTCACGACTTCTACTCAACATTACACTTGCCAGTCCAGGCAAGAAAAAATAGAAGGCATTCATGTGAGAAAGTATGAAAGAAAACTTTATTCACTGATGACATAATCTTGTACATATTGGGTTGGCCAAAAAATTCATTTAGTTTTTTTTGTAAACTAAAAGACACATTTTTCATTTTCACCAAAAATCAATGACTTTATTGATTTGGATATATGAGTAGGTTGGCTATCTCCCACTATCGCCTTCCAGTAGGTAGAGGCCAGAGGTGCTGCTAAACATCTTCCAATGCGTAAGACAGCCCCACAGCAGAGAGTTAGTTGGCCAAAATGTCACCAGTACCAAGAAACTTTGCAAACCACTTTTGACACATTTGATGTCACAGCAGCTTCTCCATACCCTAATCTTTTTTTTTTTGCATTTCAGCTGCATTTTTACCTTTCTTGAAATAATAAGGCATACTTCACTGAAAATGTTGTATCTTCTTCCATCTTCAATATTAAAATGGCTGCACAAAAATTCACCAATTTTGATATTTTTTAAATGCACACTGATATGACAGCTAGCACAATCTAATAAAATTGTTTTTATTATTTTATTGTTGTTCAGGTACAGTTATCTGCATTTACCCCCCCCAAAGCCATCCCCACCTCCCTCCTCTGATTCCACCCTCCCCTTCCCACCCAATACCCCCTCCCACCTCCTCTGTGGTTCCTATCAGATTGTTCTTAATTTCAATGTCTCTGGGTATATTTTACTTGCTTGTTGTTTTGTTCATTAGGTTCCACTTACAGGTGAGATCATATGGTATTTGTCTTTCACCACCTGACTTACCTCACTTAGCATAATGCTCTCTAGTTCCATCCATGCTGTTGCAAAGGGTAGGAGATCCTTCTTTCTTTTTGCCATGTAATATTTCATCGTGTAAATGTACCATAGTTTTTTGGATCCATTCATTTACTGAGGGGAGCTTAGATCGCTTCCAGCACTTGGTTATTATGAATTGTGCTGCTATGAACATTGGAGTGCATAAGTTCTTATAGATTGATGTTTCAGGGTTCTTAGGATATAATCCTAGCAGTGGAATTGCTGCATACAAAATTATTTTGAATGAAGTTAAAGACAACTAGGCACGATTAGAGTCATCATACAAAAAAAAACTTAAAGAATTTTTTGGCCAACCCAATAGAAAATCCTAAGGAATCCAAAACTAGAAATAATAAACAAGTTCAGCAAAGTTGCAGAATACAAGATCAACAAACAAGAATCTTGTATTTTCATGTACTAGTAATGAATAGTTCAAAAATCAAATTAAGAAAAAAATTCTTGACAACAGTATCAAAAATAAAATACTTAGGAATAAATTTAACAAAATAAATGTAAGATTTATACATTAAAAACCTGAATAAATGGCCCTAGCTGGTGTAGCTCAGTGGATTGAGTACGGGCCTGTGAACCAAAAGATCGCGGTTCAATTCCTAGTCAGGGCACATGCCTGGGTTGCAGGCCAGTTCCCAGCAAAGGATACATGAGAGGCAACCATACATCGATATTTCTCTCTTTCTCTCCTTCCCCCCTCCTCTCCTTCTCTTCACCTCTAAAGATAAATAAATAAAATTTTTAAAAAAAACCCTGAATAAATGGAAAGATATTCCTGTTCATCAAATTCCAAGACTTAATGTTGTTAAGGTAGCAATTCTCCCCAAATTGATGCACAGAGTCAAGGCAATACCTATCAAAATCAGAACTGGCTCTTTTACTGATGTGAACTGATGAGCTGATTTTAAAATGTACATGGATTTTGAAAATGAACAAAATTGAAGGACTTAAATTTCCTAATTTCAAACCTTTACTG